ATTTCAAAATTTTTATTCAGAAAATTGATTTGATTATAACGTGATTCCATAAAATAATTATTACGGTAAAATTTTATCTTATATTTAAAAACCTATGTGAATAATAAGTATAAATATAAAAATTATATTGTTTAATTAATTAAAATAAATTTATTTTTGTATAAATATCAAAATAAAAAAATTTAAGTAGTTGAGTAAAAGCAATCAGTCATAAGATTTTTTATGCCAAAAAAATCGACACTCTTTATCATGCTAAAAAAATAAACAGTGAATTTCACACAAAAATTATTTGAAATACCCCAAATCCACGAGGGGGAACACAATTATTTGAGTTGAACCTCCCTTCACTTGCTTCATTTGAATTGGTTGAATCTCAACAACCAATCCAATTACATCTAAAAGTGAAATTAAAAAGAAAAAATTCTTATTATTCGAACTGATACATTACACAAATTCAACAAATTGACTTATCAAATAAGATAGAGAATCACCATTTTCAATGTCAAACAAAGTGAGAAAGCTCCTAAAGTCGAAGCGATATGTGAGAAAATCAGCAGTATAGTACTTACAATGCTTAGTTTGACCATGAAGGATGATTCGGTATTTTCCAATAGTTGACTTATATTTGTATAGGCCAATGTTGTTCTCAACTTGATACTTTTGTATAGCATAAACCGCACATTCCTCAAATTCGTTGACTAAATTAGCAATGTTGAGCGGACAAATTGTGCCAGTAATACGACCACCCTACAAACCACGGACCTCCGTAAGAACAATAATTACAAATATAATATGAATGTAAGATCGCAATTTTAATACACATACTAATGTGATCTCAAGAAATTCTTGTATGATTGAGGTTCCTTTGCTCTTTGAAACATACGTACAATTCACAGTTTGAGCAAAGTGGGGTTCGTCCTTCTAATATCTTTTTAATGCGATCCATGCGTAAGTCATCTTGAAAACGTGTATGTTGGTGAGTTTATATGCTAATTTACAAGATGCGTGATGTACGTTGATGAGTTTATATGCATCGAATTATGTCCTACTTATAATGTGTAAAAATGGGCGTGATTTTCTAATGGAGATTTGTTAACAAATCACGATATTTTGAGATAATGCAAAATCTCACAATTGATTAAATGAAATCTTCATGTATTGTTAATAAACAATTTAAATAATACATATTTAAAATAGATCAATATTTGCATCCAATTTAGTTGTAAAAAAATATTGTGGATACGCATAAATATTTTCGGGTTTGTTTATCCACTAGTTTATTTGTATCAAGATTTGTATCCATTTTTAAAATGCAGGATTTTGAAATTCATTTGAATTGGGTTTTCTAAATTATTGGCTATGATTATACATATCATTAGGAAAAAATTATTAAATGAAATTTCATTTATACATATTTAAAATAGATCAAGATTTATATCTAATAGTTTAGTTGCAAAAAAATATTGTGGATATGCATGAATTTTTCGGTTTTGTGTATCCAATATTTTAGCTGTATCAAGATTTGTATCCATTTTTAAAAAAAAAAACACGGATTTGGAAGAATTTGTTAAGAATTATACAATTATTTGCACAATAAGTACTTCACATCTTGTTACCAAAAAAAAAATGGGATTCTTATGACACTAATATGTTTTCAAATAAATTGAAATTTGTTTTGTTTGCTAAGAAATTGAAAAGGGCAATCCGATCAGGCTCAAATTTTGTTACAAAAAAAAAGGGATTCCTATGACTTTTGTTTCCTAAACAATTGGAAAGGAAAATCCCGGTCAATCAAAAATTTTTGTAACCAAAAAATGGGATTCTGATTTTGGTAAAAAAATAAAAATGATATGAAGAATTTGTACGTATTTTAAATTAATTGGTATTTAGATTTGATTTTATAAATAATTGAAATGTTTTTTGCATTAGAATCTCCAAATTGGTTACAAAAAAAAAATATGAGATTCCTATGGGTTTCATATTTAAGAAAATTCGGCCAATTTTTATTTGTTTCCTAAATAGTTGGAAAGAAAATTCGGCAAAATCCGGTCAATCTCAAATTTTGTTATAAAAAAAATGAGATTTCTTTGGCATTCATATTTTCCAAATGAATTTAAAATAGTTTTGTTTCCTAAAAAATTGAAAAGAGAAATGTGGCCAATCTCAAATTTTTGTTACAAAAAAAAGGGGATTTAGATTTTAGTAAAAAAGAAAATGATATGAAGAAAGAGCATGGATTTTAAATTAATTTATGTATGGATTGGATTCCACAAATAATTGATACATTTTTATCATAAGAATATCCAGATTGGTTACGAAAAAAATGGAATTTCAATGGGTTTCATATCTAAGAAAATCCGGCTAATTTGTATTTGTTTCCTAAATATTTGGGAAGAAAATCTGGCTACATTGTCTAAAAAAATGATTAAATTTAATTCTTAAAAGATTCACATTTTTTTTTCAAAATTACTACTAATAGTAAGTCAAATCTTTTATTTTTTAGTCAAATTTACTATAAAGATATTTTTCCAACAACCTTTTTATATTAGTGTAGATTTCTTTAATTATTATAACCAATTTAGTAACTTAAGTTATAAATATATTTAGAAGTCAATAATTTTTTTATTAATAATTTTTTATATATATCAAATTAATTATGTTTTGATGACTTTTAATTTGACATCTATATTATACATGCAAGATAAATAAATAATTTTATTTCTCTTTATGATTAAAATTAAATTACCTATTAAAATTAATTCAAAAAATAAAGTTATTTAAACTTACTTAACTACAAAGAGTTATCTCATATAAATTAAAAAAAATTATAATATAAAACGGTAAATCGTGTAAGTGACTGTGTCATTTTAAATATAATAATAATATATTTTTTCAAAAAAAGTATTTAAAAACTAAAATAATTTTTATTGTTATTATTATTTAATTTTAAAAAATATCTTAACAAGCGCCCGTGTTGTATACAGGTATTGTACTTGTATGAATTAAATCGAGACGCACTGGTTATACAAATAAAAAATTGATCAAAGCATTTTCTATAAAAAAACATCGATACACGCACATTATTTCAAAATATTCGTTCATATTATTTTATCGGAGTTACGGTAATTCCATTATGGTAATTTCATACGAAAATGGAAATAAAAGTTGAGATCCACGCCTAAAAACCAATATATTGGCCTGCGCATTTCAGACAAAAAGTATACCATATATTGGTTAATTTCTCAATAAATTTCCTACAAAAGAAATAGCCATAAAAAAACCCAAATAAATTTGACTATTTTATACTATATATTGATTAATTTATTTTCCATAGAAACAACCATCAAATACCAAAAATAAATTCGCTCACTTTATACCCTATATTGATTAATTTATTTCTCATAGAAACAACCATCAAATACCAAAAATATTGATTAATTTATTTCCCATAGAAACAACCATTAAGTACCAAAAATAAATTCTCACACTTTATACCCTATATTGATTAATTTATTTCTTATAGATACAACCATCAAATACCAAAAATAAAATTGTCCACTTTACCCCATTTATTGATTAATTTATTTCTCATAGAAACAATCATCAAACATATCATATATTGATTAATTTATTTCCAATAGAAACAGCCATCAAATACCAAAAATTAATTTGTTCACTTTATACCATATATTGATTAATTTATTTCTAAATATAATAAATATGATTTTTTTTTTTTTTTTT